AAGAAAATGTATAAAACTGCTTGGAAGCAGAACGCCCTATGGTCTATGAACCCTGTGGACTATGGCCACCGCACCACTAATTAGCCTACTCTGCATGGGTTCGCAGGTTCGAATCCCATGCAGGGATGGTTATGTGCGAGAGGATTGCTGGACTCCTCGCCGTCGTTGGGTGGTTCACGTAACCGCTGGTCGGTTACGGCTTCCTCCACCAACAAGTCCATGCTTCCGAAAACAAACAATATAACTAATCCCATACCCGACTTGGAATGGTAACTGGGCGAGAGGCCGTGGTTCGCCATATGGATAAGCAGTCTTATCGGCTTTCCCCTCCTCCGGGATAAATATGTAAATCCTATCCTACTTTACCATTGCAAAATTTTCAAGGCTATTTTAAGAGTGCTTCTGCGAGTTGGCGCTTGTATGGGGTATGTGTTTCAAATCATGATTATGATTCATCGCATATAACAATCTGTTTTTGAAAGTACCGGTGAAGAATTTTAGCCTAGTCTATCACAGCTATTTCCACACAAATTTTTTATTACTGCAGGTAAATTAAAACTCCTAGGAAGACAGAGTGATCATTAAATTATCTGATTTATATTTAGGTTTCCGGAACACAACCGAAAACTAACGAATAGAGTTCAAAAACGCGAAAACGAGGTAATGTCCACTGACCACGCTTGAAAATCTGTCTGAGTGAGAAAAGTGTCTGGGCGGATGCGAAAAGGGAGATTGTTACGTCACTTTTTGCATCTTGCTGATTGGCCAATGTCACGAAGTAAACAAGGAAGTCGATGGTCGGGGAAAAGTCCATTAGGTACACGAGAGAGAGAGAGAGTTTATTTCATTTTGTCAAACCAAGAAAACAATTTATGCACACATAAACAAATATCAAAAATATAGTTTTCGGTATATGACTGGGGGGCAACGATACGACCTTTGGGGGTCATCAGAGTCAGTTGCCACCCAATTATATTAAATAAGCATAAAAATAACAGGTTCGTGTCAATATATCAATGTCTCTCACGATTTATACTATGCACAATATTTACATGAATTTACTATTTTCAATTATGGAAGCATTCTTTTAAATAATGTGATTTTGCACAAATTGAAATTATATTGCAAAATATAAAATGATCGAAACGAAAAAAAGTGGGAAAGCAGGTCAGACAAGCTACCCCCTATTTGGGTAACTTGTTTTATTGAATGAATTTAAGTTAAACATAACAAGTGGGATTTTGAACAAGCGAATATGGGTAGAGTTCTATTCTACACACACTAGTGCAATGTAATCAGATGCATGGGTTGAGTCATCAAAACAAATTGGAATTTGGTTTAAACAACAAAAAAAATGCATTTCAAAAATGCAATACATTGTAAACTTTGTATAAACAAACAATCGAAATTAAAATATCAAGAAAGTTAATGCAAAAACAAAACAGTTGACTTAATGTAGGAATAAATAAGATTCAATATTTCATAACACCATGTGAAATGATTCAGAACACTTTAAAAATAAACATCAAATATTAGTGTTTGTACATAGAAATAGAACAATTCATAAATCAAGGCCATTTATCCAGATTTTTACACTAATTTGTAGTAAATGGATTAATTTATCATAGATTGGCCAGGGATCTCAATAGAAAAGTATTGAGATATCGTTGGTAGGTCAAAGGTTGATGAAAAAGAGCTAATAACTTAGCATATTAACTTCATAAGATAGAAAAATTGAGTGGAACATTTTATTACACAATTAGGGACTCTTTTACATGAGAGCATTTAATAATAGCAATCAAAAAATAAGTGATTCCACGAAAATCTGAGATATATCGCTATTCTGTTGTCCAAATACACTTAAAATACGTTACATATTTTGCAGATAACATCGCATATCCTATGTACATATGGCACATCGGGCGATTGCGTTTTTTATGGTTTTTGCCGCCAAACTTGATGTGGCCGAGTTTTAGCATAGAACGCTATTCGCGGGAAACTGCGATACTTGCTTTTGTTTGGGAAAAGGCTTGGATGTTTTGCGTTCATATTCAGGTCATTATTGCGGGAAGTATAAATATAAGTTTATTTCGACTCCATAATCAGCATAACAATAAAATGATTGATAAAAACAATTAGGTAAAAACTGATTATGAAATCAGGAGAGCAAACAAAACCTTAGATAGGGTTTAAAATGTACATGATATAAGATGGAGGGTATTGCCAAAAAGAAGTGATACCGGTACCGGTACCGTAGAAGATTCACTTCTGCACGTAGGGAATCATCGTACTCCAATATCGGGAGCCGATACCGGTACGGTAAGACTATAAGACAGCTTAATCATACTGTCATCTCGTCCTGTTACCGGTACAGCCGGTATGGGATTAGTTAGCCAGTTACCGTATACGCAGGTTTAAATCCCATCCGGGATAGTTAGGGTGGTGTAGCCAGTCTGCGGACGATTTCATTCAAACCGCTATAAAACAAAAACCAATATTTCTAACGCGTCAATTTTTTCACCGTAAGTGCATTGGCATTTATCCTATGCTAAACCTTGAATTAACTTTCTACGACTAGGGGTTACAGGGTTAAAGCTATACAAACCACCGAAGTACGAGACTCGGAAGACGTATTTGCGACCGAAAGACCAGTGTGCGACCACGGATTTCAAGCCTTGAACATCGTTTCTGCTGCGTCGAGACTAGAGCATACGCAGCCATGCGTGAAAAAATTGGGCTTCTAGTTGCATTTCTGACCATCATATATATTAAGAACACGGTCATTTCGAACAAAACTCGTCAATTTATATACAAAGCACCGCATCACAGCAATCAAACAGACAAAAACATATATATATATAAAAGAATTGTCAATAATATGAATTCAGAATTGGTTAATTTTTTGTATCCTGTTGATGTAAACAATTGTTGCAAAAATATTCATAGAGGTATCTTGGCAAATTATGTAAAAACGTTCAATTTCAAGATTATGTGGAAAATTCTACCTTTAAAAACTAAACCCAAAATAAAGTTTATTGCGGGTAATGATATTTGTGTTCTATGTAATAAAGAACCTGAATATAATGAACATTTGTTTTGGAAATGTTTATTCATACAGGACATATATGATTATATTTATGATATTATCATTAAGTTTTGTAATTGTCAATTTTTAAAAACGTTTCGAACATGCATAATGTTGGATCTGGGTGGACAGGAGTATCAAAATGCTACTTCTTCTCAAATAGATGCTTTGATATTGCTCCTGTCTACTGTTAGATTTAAAGTATGGATGGAAAGAAATGATGTAATATTTCAAGGAGTTACTCCAGATGTAACAAGGGTGAAAGAAAAAAATTAAAAAGGGGTTAAAACACAGACTTAATTTAGAAAGGCATAGGAATGATAACAAATATGTTAATATATTAAATATATTATGCCAATGTTTTTGATAGATGTACGAAAGATTGTTTAAAATTAATCAATACCAATAGTGTGAATTATTCATTTGCTAATTGTCATTTTTGTTTTTATGTAACTATTGTTAATAACCTAAATATTTGATTATATTAATGATATGTATTTGAAAAAATTGGATGATACTAATGCTGAATGGAACATACAATAATAATGATGGGGATCATATTGGATGATGACGTGTAATGTGATGAACCTTATTGTATATATGTATGTATTGTATATATCAACACATAATAAAAAAAAAAAAAAAAAAAAAAAACATGGTGGTCGCAAATTGGTAGACAAAGATATTATTGACGTATTGGAAATGCGCACCCTCCTATTCCCCCTCCTTCAAATGTAGAAACACGAAAAATCAAAGATGGTTAAAAGAAACACAACTCTACCCCCTTGCCAAGTTTCATCTTTTTATCTCTTATATTTGTATGAATTTTCAAGTTTTTTTAATGGGACAATGGGTAGTTGGCGACATGAAAAAATGGTCCGTTTTTTTTCTTCGGTCGGGTTTTCGGTCGTAACCTTTTTGTTTGTGGCCGCATTTTAGTGTAATTTCGCAGAGCTATGGAGGACAAGTGGACGATAACGCGTGAGAAATATCGTCGCGGTTTGTTAATTTTTTCGGCATTGATTAGATCGATGAAGTTGATGGTCGCAAATAGGTCATGGCCGCAAAGTGGGTAAGCCACCCTATGTGCGAAAAGATTGCTGGACTCCTCGCCGCCGTTGGGTGGTTCACGTAACCGCTGGTCAGTTACGGCTTCCTCCACGATCAAGTCCATGCTTCCGAAATACCTAGCCGTCTTATCACTTTCCTCTCCCCCGGGATAAATATGTAAATCCTATCCTAATCCAGTAATCAGAGCTGCTGTGGCGGTACCGGTACAATACACAGATCATTACAACTTTTGGGTCTGACTAAGCAAACTGCCTGGATAACAACAAAAATGTAATGTCAGTATGTGAAATTTTTCTGTTATCATAGGGTCAATATTTTTTTATATATTACCTCAAATTCAATATGAAAAATTGCTGTATTGTTGCACAATGCTGAGTGAGGAATTGAGCAAATCCTGTTATCAGTTCAGTTTTTGGTTTTTGCTAGTTGCGGCTAACTAAACAATCAAAGTACAGAAGTAAAGGCTGTAGGGCACAGTTCTCTGATTTCGAAATGTTCAGACATTTGGTTTAAAAAAACAAACAATCTATTTGTCTCTGAAACGGGGGCATCTGGCACGACATTAGATCAACAATTTTGAAACATGATACAACAAGCACTAACAAATAGGAATATGCTCAACCACTTTGATTTTTAAGCATGCAAACAAGTTTTCTGGCTGACTGTATGTTAAAACTAAAAATATTCTTCCAAGTATGCATTCATGCAGTGAAGGTGTGTTTTATTTTTTGCATCATATTGATCAGTTAATAGAAATAAAGCTGTGCTCATGTTATATATATGTTATGGTCCATAGTCAATTTGTAAATTCGGGAGCTCTTCTTGATCATTATGGTTCTAAATTCTGATACACTCTTAGTTTTACAGTTTAGGCCTTATTGTGTTATTGCACTCAGTATTAGAATTTTGAAAAATGCTGAAAAGTCCAACCCAAAATGATGAGAAAAAACACAAAAAGGCTTGTATTCAACCTACCATTGCTGATATGTTCAAGAGGAAAGAAAAACGAAAAGCATCTGAAGAAGATAAAGAAAATGGTCCAAATGATAATTCATTCAACGATGAGGTCGTAAATAACACCTCAGATATGAAACGACTGAAGACAAGTATTGAAAATAATGTAATATGTGAGAATGGAACTACTGAATTGAAATCACACAAAGAAACAGAATTACAAAAAGACAAAATCGTTGGGGAAATTTTGCAAAAAAAGACACCAAATACAATGAAATGTAAATATTGCAGACAACTACTTGACGAAGTTGAAATGTTTGAAGGTGACACACCTGATGCGAGTGAAGAATTCATTGCTCTCACTCACGAATCATTGGCACTGTTTGTGGGCAATGAAGAGACTGGCCGTCCTCAGCACAAGATCACTAATTTCAGTGTTTATGACAAGAATACACATTTGTGTCCGTTTGATGCTGGTTTGATTGAGAAAAATGTTGAGCTATTTTTCAGTGGTGTTATCAAACCTGTATATATTGAAGATGCAGGTGTTGAAAATGGAGTGCTTGGAACCAGGTTGGGACCGATCAATGAGTGGTGGACTGCAGGTTTTGATGGTGGTGAAGCAGCTCTCGTTGGATTTTCAACTGCATTTGCTGATTATTATTTGATGGAGGCTAGTGCTTCTTATTCTAAGCTATGGAATAGCATGCAAGAGAAAATTTATATGAGTAAAATCGTTATTGAGTTCCTTACTGATACAATTGAGGCAGTGTATGAGGATTTAGTAAATCGTATCCAGACTTGTGTTCCACCTGCCAACTTAAATATCACACATTTTACAGAGGACAGTCTCCTACGCCATGCACAATTTGTTGTTGAACAAGTAGATTCTTTTGATGGATCCAGGGAAGAAGATGAAGATTCATTACTATCTCATCCATGCATGCGTGACCTTGTCCATCTAGCTGGTGTTACCCTGGGTAAACGTAAAGCAGTACGAAAGCGTATTATCAAAGACAAAAAGGCTGTAAAAGCTTCATCAACAAAAGCTACAACAACGCCTCTTGTGGCCTTCATGACAGAGTCGTTTTTTCAAGGAACAGTTGAGACAAAAGTCAGTGCACCACGACGAAAACGATGTGGTGCTTGTGAACGATGCTTATTGCCAGATTGTGGAAATTGTAATGCTTGTAAAGATATGGTGAAATTTGGTGGAAAGGGAATCGCCAAACAATCTTGTGTGGAAAGAAAATGTCAAGAAATGATATATGATGTAGACAAGGGTTCAGAAACTGAAGAAGAAAAAGATGTAATTGTTGAAAAATTACCAAAAAGTCCGAAATCGAAGGGTCTACGAAAATCAAAAAATCTTCACAAGTGGGTTGGTGATCCCTATGTCCCATTTGGGACTGAAACTTCCAATAAAATATATTATGGCACTGCCAAAATTAATGAAGATGAAATAACTCTTGGTGATTGTGTCTCTGTACTTCCTCAGGATCAAAGTAAACATCTTTTCATTGGTAAGATTATTCAAATGTGGGAGGAACCTGACAAAACAAAAATGATTCATATTGATTGGTACATTCGTGCTACCGAATCAATTCTAGGCGAGGTTGCAGATAAAGGAGAATTATTTTTAATTGATGATTGTGAAGACACAAAACTTGAGTTTGTGAATAGTAAGGTAAATGTTGAAATGAAAAGCACTCCTGAGAATTGGTTTACGCTTGGAGGTGAAATTCCTGAAAAACATAACTGCGATGGAATCAGTGATTTCTTCTGTCAGAAATTGTATGATTCTGATATTGCTCGATTTGAGGACCCCCCGGTCTCTTCATGCAAAGAGGGGGAATGTGAATCATGTGCCAGACTCAATGCTAAAGATGAAGCTGGTGTTCCAAAAGCAATTGATGAAATAGAACGGACCGAAAAGAAAGTTGTTTACAATAAAGTACAATATGATGGAGTGAGCTATACTGTTGGTGATTCTGTATATCTTCCAGTGGAGGCATATGAATTCGATTTCGTTCAGCCAAACAATAATGAAGAAAAGCCAAAAAAAAACAAGAAAATAGACTTTGAAAAATACCCTGAATATTATCGCAAATCTACAAAACACATCAAGGGGAGTAATGAAAACGTCCCTGAGCCTTTTCGGGTTGCAAGAATAGTATCAATATTTTCTAATATGAAGACAAATGGCAATCCAAGTGATCAAGTCAAAATTCAAGTTAGAAAGTTTTATCGGTCTGAAAACACACATAAAGGTATCAGCGGTAGCTACTCTGCTGATTTAAATCTTCTCTTCTGGTCTAGTGAAAAGACTATCGTGAACTTCACAGAAGTTCAAGGTAAATGTAGAGTTGAACATGAGTTAGACCTGAAATCAAGTATCGTAGAATACACAGCTGGTGGTTCTGACAGATTTTATTTCAGTGAATCATATGATGCAGATGACAAGTCATTTGATGATCCACCACTGTCTGCAAGACGCATTGGACAATCAACAGGAAAGAAAACAAATGTTAAAGTTCATGCTAAAAAGATTAAAGTTACTAATGAAAAAGAGAAGATTGATGATGAATGTGAATCGAAACACAGTTTTAAAAAATTGCGTGCATTGGATGTATTTGCTGGTTGTGGTGGCCTCTCGGAAGGTTTTCACCAAGCAGGTATTGCAGAATCTTGCTATGCTGTTGAGCTTTGGGATCCAGCTGCTCAGGCATATCGTTTGAATAATCCCGGTGCTACTGTTTTTACAGAAGATTGTAATGTCCTTCTTCGACGTATCATGGATGGGGAAGAAAAAAATTCATGCGGGCAAACTCTTCCACGAAAAGGGGATGTGGAACTTTTGTGTGGTGGTCCACCTTGTCAAGGATTCAGTGGAATGAATAGGTTCAACTCAAGAGAATATTCTCGTTTCAAGAATTCTCTAGTCGTATCTTACTTGTCGTACTGTGATTATCTTCGCCCAAAGTTTTTCTTGCTTGAAAATGTGCGCAATTTTGTTTCTTTTAAAAATTGTATGGTGTTAAAATTGACTCTGGCTTGTCTAGTGAGAATGGGTTATCAATGCACGTTCGGAGTGTTGCAAGCTGGTCACTATGGTGTTGCTCAGACAAGACGACGAGCAATCATTCTTGCTGCAGCACCAGGAGAAAAACTACCTCTGTATCCTGAGCCTCTACATGGATTTTCGCTGAAAAGTGGATCTTTGACTGCACAGGTTGATGATAAACGTTACATGAATAACATCACACGTCTTAGCTCTGCACCTTTTCGAACTATCACAGTACGAGATGCGATGTCTGATTTGCCGAAAATTCCAAACGGATACTCTAAATTGGAAAGGCAGTATGATTCGGAACCATTGAGTGACTTTCAACGAAAAATTCGTGGCACAAGCTACCAGCCTATTCTACGGGATCATATATGTAAAGAGATGAGTCCACTTGTCGCAGCTAGAATGTCTTATATTCCTCATGCACCTGGTTCAGATTGGAGAGATCTTCCAAACATAACTGTAAAATTCGCAGATGGAACCACCTCCAAGTTATTAAGATACACTCATAATGATAAGAAGCAAGGCAAAGGCCCAAATGGTGCATTAAGAGGTGTTTGTCAATGTGCGACGGGACAGTCCTGTGATCCCATGGATCGTCAGTTCAATACACTGATACCTTGGTGTCTTCCCCACACTGGCAATCGTCATAACCATTGGGCAGGTTTGTATGGTCGTCTTGACTGGGATGGATTTTTCAGCACTACTGTTACTAACCCTGAACCTATGGGTAAACAAGGGCGGGTTTTGCACCCTGAGCAACACCGCGTTGTCAGTGTTCGTGAATGTGCTCGTTCTCAAGGGTTTCCTGACACATATCGATTTTTTGGCACAGTCTTGGACAAGCATAGAGAAGTGGGGAATGCTGTCCCTCCTCCAATGGCAAAGGCTATCGGGTTGGAAATCAAAAAATGCCTCCAGTGGAAAGTGGAACAAGGAGTGAAAGTTAAACCAGAGCCAGAAATAAAACAAGAAAAAATTGATAACATATAGACTTGATTCTCTGTTATGGACTTCGATTTTGGCAACATACCGTTGTATCATATGTCAAGCTCATTGAATGCTATTAAAATTTCAGAAAAGAATTATAAGACTTTGTTAATGTGTGTTGCTATTGATTTCCAAGTTGTTAACAACGGTAGAGCTGGATAAATTAAGTTATAATTCAATGTCGCTACACTCCGGAACAAATTTAGATCAAACATTTTCATGTGTATATTTCAAAATTCTGAATGATGAATGATATCTAATGTACTTTCATCTTAATATGTAATATGCCAACTTAGTTTTTCATTATATCAATATATGAAATTACAATTGTGCACTCATTTTTGAATGTATTTCAGAAAAAATTTTGACTTGTGTTGTATGTGGTACAGTTTAGGTTGTTCCAACTTTTTGGACGGACTTTTATATTATAATTTTCTAAGTCATGTTCCTTGCACTCTTTTATACAAGGATTTTCTGCTCAATTACACTGCCGATATTTCTTGTAATACAATTACTCAATATGTGCAGATTTCAATGTCTTAATATTTTGTATATGTTGTCAAGTGCAACTAAATTTGAACTTCTGCATGTGTATTTTTCGATAGTTTCACAAAGTGAATCGTTCATGAAGTATATAATAAATGTAAACTTATATTATTTACACAAAATGAAACAAACGTATACATTAACCTTTTGCATATGTATTCATTTGCAATTCAAGTTGATCTTTGTATGTATTCTGTCGGATAATGTGGTTTATATGTAAAGAAGACATGACAACTTTGATAGGATCTGAATCATTTCATTGAGAAACGATCATTAACTTTAAGGTGTTTGCTCTTGGTTAATTTGTGCAATAAATTCAAGCCTCATTTCATATCTTGAATGCTGAATGAGTGTGGAACCCTGGCTTTGGTTCCACCTTTCATACACACACATATTTCCGAAATTTCAATGCATTGATTACATATTATTTGATTAAACTTGATATAATTAAGTTTCCATCTGGATTGAGTATCATTGTTTACAAATTGTTAATTATCACCTCGGCTCATGCACTTGACTTGTAGAATTTCATAAGTATCAAGTTTTGTATAAAGTTTTGGTTCCCACCTTGTGTTTTTTTTTGTTTAAATTGTTAACAGTTTGTCTAAATAAACATGTTTCATACCAATGCTTGATCCTAACTATTTTTTCTTCTGGAATATCTGTTTGTTAAAGTGCAGCAATAACTCCGTACATTGAAGATGAACATATATCTTATGAAAGCATGTTAAGCGGATACCTGCAACTAGGTAGGTAATGTAATTGAGTGTTGAAGATCTCTTCAACTTAGAAGAAAAATTTAGGAGTAAAAAAATTCTAGCAGACGAATGTAGCACGAGTCGTGTTTCATCCATACCATTATGTCATCCAAATAAATATAGTACGATGTTTACAGAAAAAATATTTTGACCATCCAGCTATTAAGCAGAGTGATTGTCGCATGTTCATATTAGATTTGGCCGGTCATGTTTCTGGGGGTACAATTATCTGTTGAAATTATATCTGGTTCTGAGCCGAAACAAACCTTGTCTGCATTTGTTAAATACAGGTTTTTCAAAAAACTGACGCCGACCCTGGCTTTACGTTGAGATAACAAAAAGTCGACGTGAGTCTCAGGACCAAAAATCCGTTTCATTTAAATCAGAGGTTCCCAAACTTATTTGGCCGTGGGCCAAAATTTCAAGGCCAGAAAAGGGAAGTGGCCAGAAGAGCGCGACGTAACGGCTGAGGTTTAGGGCGCGTTAAAAAATAGGCTGCAAGATTAATTTCAGATAAAACCAGTATCGCAGTTTGTATAATAGTTAGGTGATAGAATACCCAAGGAATAACAAGCACTACTTTCAACAAGGATTTGCAACTGATTGCGACTAATGAAGTGACTTGCTCATCTTTTTTCCTTGTGAAAAACATGCAAGAGGACAAGAGTGGCGGAATACAATGTTCTCATATGTCATGGAATGTGTCCCGTGGGTTATAAAACAGCAAAATTAGTCCAATAAGACTCGGAGAAAATTTAAAAATAATAGTGATAATCTTATAGAGATTTTTTCCACTTCTGTGTGCTGAAAATCATGTATCGGTCTGTCCATCAGTTTCGGAGTTTGTATTCAATGAAAAACATGCCAAAAATTTAATCATGTGAGTGAGGATTCGGTAATGATACCATAATGATATTCTTTATATTTGTAGAAATATAGATATTTCATTTCCATCAATTTCTTTTTTCAATTTATAAATGACCCCAAAAAATTTTGATGATCTGAACTGGGTGGTGAAACATCGTTATGGAAAAAGTAGCAATTAGATCTCATTGTCACTGGCAAAATATTATTTAATTTTCCTTCCTATCTTTTTTTTCGGATATAATATTTATGTAGGATACAAATATTACTTTGTGTTTTAGATTGTGTATAGCTTGTACGCGTAACAAGTTTCAAGATCATCCGTAATTCAGCGTTTTATGTAGAAACGAATGTTTTAGTGTTTACTCCGCATAACTCAAACTGTATTTCTCAATATACAATCCTATAAAATTGAACAAAAGAATGAAAGGCGTTGCAACACGATGTAATTAGTAAATGTTGTACAAACAGAGTAAATCCTGTTAGCCAATTTGTGTAAACGTTCTTAAACTAACCATTAAATCCCAGGCCGAAGCACCTACATGAATTCCACTTTAGTCCCCTTGTGACATATACCTGATCAACTTTTTGTGCAAAGAAAGCGATACTAATATAGTTTTTACAATTTTTTACATTTAATGAACATCATAGAAGCTCAGAGGCACAAAGCCAGAGTTTTAACATAGGAATGTGGTGAGCGTGCAAATCAACGTAACACTTTGTTTTGGATTCAACCAGCTAGAAAAGCTTGCTTCAAAGTGTACATCGTCGGTGTCGAATGCCCAGTTAAAAATATTCATCTTGGCACATATTTACAAAATCATCGACAACCGCAGTATTCCGAAACCATGTTGTCAACATAAGAACTCATCAGAGAGCCCCGTTCATCTAGTTTCACGTAGTGGAATCTTCTGAAAGATATCGGCACGCAGCATACAGTTGGAATAGGATTTGTAGAGCCCCTTCGTTTGTATCGTTTTTCCTGGATACGTAATAGTACAGTGTAAATTCAAAGACCAAATACAGAATGACACAGAAAACAAAATTTACAAATTTCTTGATCACTTATACAAAAAATAATAATTCAATTTTGTTTGTGTATGATTATACCCAAAAGTTTCAGAAAGCTAGTAGTTGTGTTCTCTCCAGAATGTGTTCCAATTACCTCCTGCCATTTCAGACAGACTTGCATCCGTTGCGCAAAACTGTCAATCACTCACTTGTTTTTGTTTTTTTGCTGAAGCGTATTTTCCGCTGTAAGAACATGACATTTACTGGGGAGCATCACCTCCGAAATCTTACACAGACCATTACACTCAGTAAAGTGCACGACACGGGTAATCATTTTTAAACATAGCGTAAATACACATATTAGTTTGAGAAAGAAAATAAAAGAGCTCAACCCGTGAATATGGAACGTTACGTGACGGTGCCTAAAAAATTCTAGATATCACTTGAACGGTGTAGATGTAGAGTGTAGGTAGAGGGATTGCTCGAGATGACCAGTGATTCCAGCATGACAAAGAGACTTGCACATCAAATCACGCCCTTGAGAGAGAGATTTATAGAAAGGCCTATCAGCATGCAGCAGTGACCTGTAGTGGGTACCTTATTCATCGGACAAACCCCCACATTTATTCTATAAGGGTATTCGAAGGACAGTGTTATCAGAACATTTGGTGAACTCGATGCTACAATTGCAGCAAAAATCAGAAAAATTCTCAGAGGAGTGTGTGCGAGTGATGGACAATTTTGAAAAATGGATGCAGGTCTGTCTCTAACGCCGAAGACGACATTTGGAATAGAATATATTCTAGAAAGAACATAACTATTGTGCAAATCGTCCTAGACTTCTGGAACTTTTGGGTACAATCATGCACAGACTGAAGTTCAAGTGCAGACAAAATTAATTGATTTACTTCATATTCGTGCAAGTAATTAGGAAATTTATGGGATTCCGTTTTTTGGGGATCCTATACTTTATTTCATCTAATGCCAACATAAATAATAGGCTTATGGTTAATGGGTGAAATTATCAAAAAGCTCATAATTTTCAGATAAATATTTGTTGTGATTTTGTTTTGAATATCACCTCGATATCCTCACAACTATTTATGGCTTTTGGCAATTATTGTTTCGATTGAATTAGATTTTTTTGATTTAACTTAAAAATGTTTATATATACTTAATACTTATATCGTATCATTTTCCTGAATTTTGCGCAGCCAATAAAATCTATTATTGAAAATACGTATGGAATCTGCTCACCGATTGCATGCTCAATGCGTGATTTGTTGCGTTGAGATCCATGAAAAAAACTTGTTTGCAACTCCCGACACATTCTCCAAGGTCAAACTCTAGCGGCCTTACCACAACCTGATTAAAAGTCGCCAATATTATTAGATTAGCAGGCACTAGTTTCTGGATGTTATGTCTACGAAGCCAAAATAAAAAAAGCCACGCCTATACCTCAAGCCGTGATACTTTACCTCAAGTCATGTAATACTGGCGAATGCATTTTTAGCAAGACGTAATTAGTACTACTTTAATTTTAAACCCATTGAAATGTTGCGCAATTTAAATTTACCTGGTTTATCCTGTAGTTGACAAAAAAATGTTCCCGGTGACAATTTTCTTCTTTTCCTGCTATCGACCGTTTGTGCCTTTCGTGAATCGGATCAATCCGTCCTGTCATAACCATATGTATTGAAATGAATATCACTAAACTTTCAAAACTACAATTTGACTTATTAGTACAAGTATTATTATACAATATGATTCTGATCAAATTACAAATATAAATATTGCAATTATATTTCAACTTTCTTTTTTTAGTTATAATTTTACATTATATTCAAATTAAGAAATAATTGCCTAAGGCCATGCCGTGGTGGCACACGTCATTTGCTTTATATATTCCCAAATTCAGCAACTTTAAAGATTTTATCAAATGACACGATCAGGTTCACGTGACAGAAACTCAAAGTTTGAAATGTTATTATACCAAGTGCACATAGCAGCACGTATAAAACTTTCGTTTGTGCTGCTGGTTATAATGCAAATAATTGACATGCCTTGGGTCCGTATTTTAAAATCAAAACTTCTCATCGGCATATGCAAAGGTATTGTAAGTGTGATATCACATAGTCATTAAATTCCGACGGTGCATGTCAGTACACCCGTATATCTTCCACTTGGTTTCATAAACTTCTTATATCTTATCTCAATTTGTAAAATGTAATTTACATCAAAGGTAGCCTACTTGTTTAAACTTGCAACGGCTTCGCAATTCATAAACGTGTTACCGCAGATACCACAAGTAGCTTAGTCAAATACGTCATATGTTCCTTCCCTAAGGCTCATTTTTATTTATTTTTTTGACCTATATTCCCACCTCTTTTCTCGGAGCGATCGATGAGTTTAGTTGGTAGTGGCAAAATGTCTGTTTTGCTTTCCAAGTGGGAAACTATTGCTGAAACTTGTATTTCGACGTCAAATTCACTTTCATGGTATGTAACATTTCGTTGAAGACCACCTGTTCAAAACCATGGAATTTTAATTACAGGCAATGTGTTCATATATAACAACATTTATTTCATTTTATACTACAATTAGACAATCGTTGTTGATTCAAAAGCGATTGAAATAAGATGAGATCTAACGCCTAATTATGAAACCATTGAAAACATAAAAATAAGTGACAGCCTTACATCTCCCGTCGGAATTTTCGAAACGAATGTATTGAATCTGAGCATAATCATTAAGATCTGATGTTTATTTATGTCTGCGCTGCGGTATAATAAATTCCGTATTAATACAGAAATTTCGTGCCCAACGTCGACGCAGAAATTGGGACAAGCGTATTCAAAAAGATTACACAACGGAGGTCACTGCAAATTCCAAATTTATCGTGGGAGTTTCGGTCGTTAACTTACAAAATTATTCCTAATTATTTCCTGTTTCTACATTGCTGTTTTATCATCACTTTGAAAATTGTCAATTTGTCGACAAGGAAGTATATTTGAATTATTTAGAATGGAATGCTTGAAATATTTGTTATCAATTATTCTATCGAAAGCAAAAAGGGAGTACGAAACATAGTGTCGATACTATGTACTAGGTCTAGGTCGGTTCAAGGCATTTCCAGCGAAATAGTCATGCCATGTTATGATGTCACTTTCTTAACCAACTTTCCGCGAAACGCCATTGGGTCAATTATTATTGCTTCTTTAATTTTATTCCATTTTGGAGTAACAGGTAATAGTGTTGAGATAAATAAATTCACTAAAATGGGGGAGGACTCGTCTTCTGGCCCAGATGTCATCCCCAACCAAAGGAATCACACTGAATCACGCATTCCGCCACCCCGCCTCTCATTTGATAAATCAACCGGATTATTTTCTACTAGATCAAGATGCCGTTAACATCTTTTATTGAAATTTTCAGTTTACTGTTACAATTAAGTCAATAGTTTAACGCAAAATCTAATCGGTAGAAGAGTGTCAGAATGCTTTCAATCAATCCTGTTCAATGTGAATGGTATATATTGGTGCGATAATCATTCAGCATTATAGTGCAAAACTTTTCCAAGCACGACTTGTGTGTAGGCTATTTGTTAACAAGCTAGAATTAAACCGGCCTACGAGTAAATGTAGTAGAAATATGCCTCGAACCTGCTCTGAAATATAGTTTAAATAAATATAAATAGACCAAATAATTGTTCCCAGCGGACCGACAACAGAATATCTAAAAGAATGAAACTTAAAATAATATCCCGTGTTTATGTGACATACTTTTGGCAAAGAATATGCATCTTCAATGAAAAATCACAAAGCACACACACAAAAAAAACAAGAATGATCAATTAACTTCAACATGCACTCGTATGAACGGTGAGCATAGGCACATGATTTGAAAACATTTGAACGCGTGCAACGATGACGTTTTTAGAGCGAGCGATCATTTATGCACAAGGTTTTAAATAAATGTTTCATATAACTGCGTTTGATTGCTTAATCATCTGGTAGAGGGTGGTGGAAATAGAGCAAACGACATCAGTGTTAAATCACCAAGTATGATATATAGATATAGAGCGGGATAACCAAACTCTTCCTAACAACGCAATAAATATATTACGGTGATTCTAAAAGTATATTTTCATACTTCTTGTAATTTCGAAAAACGTGACAATAATACCATTATTATAATATAGGGTCTCATAATACACTAAAATGGCATCGGCTGAAAAATAACGGAACGCAAACAGAGTTGATAGACGTGGTAGATTGTGAGGAATCATATAGGATATACTTCGAGCAATGGTAAGAATGCTTCTAAATATGTATAAATTCAATTGATTTCGATTTAATTCAACATTTTTAAAATGTTTATCAGCTTTCGGTAAAACGAAACGTACAAGTTTCGGCTTACGGAAGAATATGTTCGACTTATTATTTTCCTTGTGAAACAAATGCCCCCTCAAAATGATGAGCACATTTCTGATAGTATTTTAATACGAGTTAGGACAGATAGCCATTTATAACGTTTTGAAACCCCACAAGAGTTTCTCGAGCACTATTGCATGTGCTCACTATGAGGCTATAGACGCAACCAAGTGGAAACTTAACGAAAGTTAAACGACGGCAGTGTGAAACTAAGCTGTTGCGTATTCCGGTTTACCAGTAAAGCTCATTTTGTTATTTGTAACATTACTGTAAAAGGAAGTATTTAAAAGTTTTCAGATACCAACTGTTTGATAATAGCTGACGCGAAATGACGTCACTTAAAAATTAGCATTATTTATTATAAGATAAGTTTTGGCAATGTTTATAATAATTTAAATAATATTATTTTTTATGGGACAAATAATCCTAATTGAAATTATGAAATTTGGATTAGGAATAAGTGAAATTATTCATAACTATAATCTTTAAATGTAAATGAGTAAAATGAAAGCTCAAAGAAAATAAATCATGGAATCGCATTCTACACTATTTTCCGAATGGTATATAAATCTTGATTTTAATTAAACCAAAATTAAAGGATTTCTGCGTTCGTATGCACCTATGGTAAAACTGTTATAAGAATATGTCTGGATATTTACATCGCTCACGAATGGATTCACGAATGGCTACGAGCGGTTTACATATTTATGCAGTCTGTTCAAGCTCACGAAAAATATCCTAAGCAACGAAATATCCTCTTGCAAATATACAAATAACATGGAATTTCGATTAGCGACAAACACGAAACCGTAACGCCGCGAAAAGAAAAAATTTTGTTTTTTCATTAATCCCATTATATATATATATATATATATATATATATATATATATATATATATATTCGGTTATGTTTTGCTACAACGAAAATAAGTAGCAAAGAAAGTCATGAGTGTAGACCTAGAGATAAGTAGACGTTCATATCTAAGAATTTACATGTTGATGGCTCGTTTGTGGTTTTTGCAGTATTGGTGACGCAATGACACTAATGTACTTATTACCTTGCCGAATTTGTTTTTGCGGCAATACTTCGACGTCAAACTCAATCTCATCATTTTCCCGCATAAACCAATCTGAGACGATTCTTCTGCCATTTTCATTCAAACCAACCACAAAGTAACGTTTTCGTCCTCCCGACGGGCAAGTGGCCTGAATATTTCAACAAGCCAATTAGATACAATCTTGATCTTCATCCCACAGTCATATTACTAGTCAAATGTTATGTAAAGCTTACGAAGCTTGCGGGCAACATATTATTTTGTCGAAGTGCTATCAATTTATAATTAGCCTACTGAAAATGATAAGCGCCAAGAATATCTAGAAAATAATATTCCGATGACTACTGAATGTACATGAAATAAATCTAATTGTGCAAATATTATAAGAATTAAATTTTAGTCCGGACATCAGATAAAGTCGTTGGGTGCAGAATTGCTCTAATCCTCTAATCTTATATTTTTTTGTACATTTGCACTCTAAACTATGCTACTATGCTTTTCTGCAAAAAATTATTTGTGAAATTTCATTTTCGTAGACTTGGTTTCCAGTCATTTATAAATGTCATACATCGCCGTGGGAAATTTTAAATGTGTAAAGTTCCATCCCTTATAGTACATTGTTTCCAATGTCGATAACAAAATCGTAGCAATGGCTTCATAGCCAGCATAGGCAGATAATATGAAATAGATCGTACTCCTATTTTGATTTATGATCTGTTGAAATAATATTATAATCTTGTGTTTCACAACCAATGGAATAATGTGTTTATCTCATTTGTACCTGAACACTTTGATGAATGATGACCTTATCATCAGAGCTCGAGGTTAGTGAGAAATATAGAGTTACTTTGTACCTCCCATATGTTTCAATATCCGCTCTCCCAGAGCGAGAAATAACGAGATCAATGTCATGTATATCTTCACGAGAATATCTGAAAAATAATTACAAGTGGAAAACAAAAAAATTCCAGGCATGGCTATCATTTGAAATAGATAGATTCAACAACGACAGTATTTCTTATTAAACTCATCTAAAGTAAGTAAGATGAAATCTCTTATAATCTGAAACTCAACAAAATTAATTCTGTTATGTCGAATTTATATTGAAAAAATTCATGAATCTTCCCACAAAATTGCTGTGTACGATAAAAATGTGATTTTTATTTTTTGCAAAGATAAGTTGCAAAAAGCAATATAATTTTGTCCATGATATTGTGTTTTAATATTGTATACCTTCGTGCTAGATGACGTATGGGAAAGCGAGCAGTTGTCCTTGTACCATTTGTTCTTTGCCACGTTGAGGATCGGATGTGCATCTCGTATCTTCTCTTCCCTAAAAAAGCTTTCCAAGTTTTTCGCACTGACTTGAAAATGTTACTGCAGCTTCCAATGTCCAATATTGCTTTCTTCACTTCTGCCGTAGTTTTTTTGCTGTTTTGATAATCATTCAAAGCTGAACAAGTAATACAGATATATTAGTTGTTGACGTATTGCATTGTCACAAAGGCCCACGACAAGTGTAACTCGATATAACAAGTACTCAAAACCTCGCCCAATTACAAATTCGGATAAGGATTTATTAAAATATGTATTTTTTACCTGGTGTGGTATGTTAGGTACCTGGAATTGTGAGCGGTATATTCGTGTCACATACACGGTGAGCGCCCCACTGAACAGTGTGATAAGTGCACCTATAATTGATACTGAAGGAGTTAGACTTGATAGACATAGTAACCTTGAACCAGTAGGTGTTGTCTGTAAAAATTCGATATACTATGGGAGTGAACGTCATTTTCACGCTCCAAATATTCGTTATAAACTCACCACATATATACTCATTGGCTTCCGTGATATTGGCATCTACTTCTACAATGCTTCCTACAACAAAAATGAAGCTTGATTGAATCACAATTAATTATAAATAATGTTCGAAGAATTATCCTCATTGGTACCATATATTTAAAATATTATAGATAGATTTACATGGTCACTCCAGAATAATGACAGATTCTACCTACCAGATATTACTACCTCGTCATTATGGAAACAATAGACAGATAGAGGCGAACTAACATTGTTTTGATTGAATCTACATTTTATATATTTGCTTTCGAAAGCTTTTAATATGACTTCCTAAATTCTTAAAAGATCAAGAATGAGTATGTATATTTTTCTCCTAACAAGTGGCAAGAACATAAAGATAAAAAAGTCATTACAATTTCAAAAACACACTTTGCAAAATATTAATATAAAAACCCAAAAACTTTAATATGTACTTTTAATCAGATATTGATTGTTATATACCTCCAGAATTTCTGAGCTTTCATGAACATGACACAGACTGCGGATAACGCAAATATAAAACGTTTTTCATGCTGTTTCAATGTAACGCGTGCGTTTCAGGGACATGTGCGTTGCGGCCACTTTGCGGATATAATCATTGGTTAATTGCGAATTTATAACGACAGGAATTCCTTATCTGACACAATATATACATTATTGCTACTTTACATAATTACAACTTCAAGTAAATTTTATAGATTGAAATGATAAAATTGGTGGCGTTCTCTAATGTAAATATGTCCTGAAATAATAACAATATTAAAAAATCATTTTGATATTACCACACTTGAACGAAATAATTAAAATCCACGCTTGTAAATGTGGTTAGAAAACCTATACATCACAACATTACACTATGGCATGCTAAATAAACAATTTTTTAAATTAACATTGATCATATCTTTGTCACGTACATATCTTTAAGTTTATCTTTATTTCAAACCATCTGTATTCTACTTAATACTTAAGCTGAATGAACTCTCAGTTGTATGACTTCCATAATCTTTGCAATGTCAATTCGCCATTTTTATTTCAAAAAATGAGGCTGACAATTATTTGACTTTTAATAAATTTTGCCGAGAAACAAATTATGATGAAGCATGTTTTATACTACCACGAAATGGTCAAAGTCAATTGATATATGGTGTCATTATTTTATATATATATATTATCATAAATATTATAACGGACTGCGTCTTCTAAACCTTCGAACCCACCATGATTTACTTATTACTGTATTACGTGCGATGTTGCCGGCGCCCGAACTCTGATCAACACCTACAAAATTACATCTTTCCTTTATCAACAAAAGTCGCTCAAAGCAAAGATAATCACCAACTTCAAGCACAATAACTTTAAAATGAGTGATTTTAGATTACTAACATACAGACATAAACTACTGAAGTGCTAGCAGATGTATCCCGCATTTTATTCACGGGTTGCATGTGTCTACTTTTTGCGCAATCAAGTGACTTAATAAGTCTACGGCTTAACCTACAACCCTATCTGCAATTTCGAGGACTAGTCAAAATTTTGTTTTGTCATTTGACTTTCAAAATTTCGACGCTTTTTTGCTTCAGACGGTCTCGTAACGGCGATATCACAATACTGCAATATCATCTGGGCTAAGTAGCCGATCAGAAATAACGCAAGACTGTCAGACTGTACGCGGGAAAGCCAGTTTACAATTTAAGGCGAACATTATTGCCTGCCAATCGCACCATTCTGCCAAGTTTGAGCATGCAAGCAAACACCGTTTGTACCTGATACTTTGTGTTTGCAGTAATTGTCTAAATAAAAAGTTTCAGTTTATTTAACAAAAAAATAATCCTTTTGAACAGTAGACCGCTTAATCCTGTAATCAAAGAAGTTTGTGCCAAGAAGGGCCATGTACGAAAAAATAGTTTATTGCAAGGCAAAATATTGGGTCTGACATATTAGAACTAGAATACATACAGACATACACTGCACCTACGTTATTGACTTACCACAGCCACAATTTGATCAATCAAGAACGTAAAAGATTCATTTTGTTAAAATTGAAGTTGTGTACTCACGTTTGCTTCTATCAGTTCGTAGTAAACTTTTAACATGACGACAACGATGTCCCGACCTGAAAGTAGATATGTTTCTATTTTCTTTATTAAATACATATCTGATTATAGCAGTATATCTGTATACTCTGATACTGGTATATCAGTATATATAGAGTTGAAAAATAACCCAAGAAATTATATATTTATTCATTACCGTATATTTGATTTTGTGAATCCAAGATATTGTTCAATGTACCACCATCTGACCATGGCCAATTAATAAAATGATATATTTCTGTATTTATTAAAAAAATCTTTCGCGTAGTTTAGTGCATGTATTTTCTATTTGAACAAACAGAGAAATAGCCAGTTTACGATACGACAAGGTATGTTGATTTTACAGGCAATATTTCCCAATTTAGCAAAGCAGCAATATCAATTTAGTTGCCTTCTAAACATGATAGATAACTAGACAGTGTGAAAAATTTAAAAGTTGCACCTACGATTGAAATCGTTCACTCAAATGATACTATCTCTACGCGCCTAATACAGGGAGAGCAGAATACGTTCTGGAATAATTTATTCTTCACCAATCCTGAACTAGGTCACGATCGCCATGGTTAAAATGTTCTCTGCGTGACTCATAATTTGTGTTTGTCTTTTAAAAGCACAATCTTTCATGCTATTGAACGTCCTTCCTATTGCATTATTTGCAACATGGCAGAGTTCAAAAACCGAATAATATTCTAATTCAGAGAAAGAACAAGAACAGAATTTCTTGATTTAAATACTTACTCTTTTAGAAGGCAGTTGGTTAAAGTAGTTTCCTCTTCATGACTTGGCGCAAAATCACCTTTACAAATTATTACATAGCAGGCCAAAACGATTAAACATAACTCCGACATTTTCTTTGTCTTACGCATCATGTTCATTCGCAAATGCCGAGAGCAGATGACTTGAAGTTGGTTTTATAGCAATCACAAATCGAAACTTTCTCTCAAGCTTTTACCATCGATAGATCTGCCCAGCTAAAGTATTTACAAAAATAACAGAAACATACCCACGTGCGCAATTAAACCAGCTTAAACTCGACGAAGATTTATGCTGCAATTGTAATAAATTTGTTTGCCTTCGGCGCGGTTAAAAATACCACGGTTTGTAATATCTATAATCTGAAAAGTTGCATATATCTGAACGAATGGGCAACTAAGCAATGAGTTGATTAAATTCGTTTCAATTACTGAATATATATATTAAGGCCCATCCCAATTCCAAACGGGATCGCACATTGAAATGTGGCCGTAAATGAGCTCACTTGATAAACTAAAAGAGAGATGTTATACGGAAAACTGTCACTCACTAGCCGTTGTTATCTGCGATTGACAGATAACTAAAATACGTGAGGAGATTAAGTAATGAAAAGTAAAAGTGATATTATTTGTCGCAACAGGTGTATATTGTTTTCGGTTTTATAAATTGTATATTTTATTACATATACAATATGGTGATGATAATTTTCATATATTCGCTTGTCGTTTTATATACTGCATTTCATTTCATTTCAACCGGCAGAGAGAACTCACATTAGGACAGGGTAGGATTTTACATATTTATCCCGGGGGAGAGGAAAGTGGTAAGGCGGCTTAATCATATGGCGAACCACGGCCTCTCGTCCGGTTACCAGTCCAGGTCGGGTATGGCATTAGTTAGCCAGTTATTTGTTTTTTCGAAAGCATGGACTTGATGGTAGAGGAAGCCGTAACCGACCAGCGGTTACGTGAACCACCCTGCGGCGGCGAGGAGTCCAGCAATCCTCTCGCACATGATCATCCCCGCATTCACGCAAAACAAATTGAAAAACCATATCTGAACATTTCAAACTATGACTATGTTATAGAAATGGAAGGTTATTTATAGCTGGTGGTCTGTTATCGTTAAGCAAGGTGATCTGGGAATGATTTTAACCTAGACATTAAAGTCGCCCTAAAGAGAAATGCACGTAGAATTCAATAACAACATACCTGGTAATTCATCTTAAACGTAAATTTAGCAATGTTCGATATATATTTTGGTTCCCTACAGATACCATGGAAAGCGAAGGTGTTGACGACAAAGTATAAAATTGGAAGCAAAAGTAGATCTTTGGCGTTCATGGCTTACATAAATTCGACTTGATTATTTTAATATGTAAATTATCAGAAAATATAATTGATAACATCATTCGATTCTTTTTTATTCGAAAGAAATTTCATTGGCCACATCCTAGCCTGATTTCGTCGGACAAGTGCAGTGATGTGTCTTGCAATTTTATCTCGATTACTTTTGGGCTGTTTCAATAATAATGGTTTGTCCAGTTGGCAGCAGAACATTTTCAAAACCATAAAAATATGCAGTGTCAATAGATGTTTGGCAAAACAACCAGTAGTGCCTATAATAGTCATAATAAGTTCAATATCGCAGTTAAAACATCTGTTCAAATAGGAAGATATTTATTCTACCTGTTTTGAGACGCGTGTAGATATAAAAAATTGGAAGGCATTTCCAATAGAATCAGATTCAGATATTTATTTCCGTCGTGCATGAAATATCATACAAATAAACAGTAAGAATAATTCAATTAGGAGAAAAAAAATAACAGACGTACAATAATTCGATTGCAATAAACGGGGAGCCGCGCATAAACTATAAAGTTAACGTGTCAGCGACACCTAAATTGCTGTATACAGTAGCAGATGACGTCAAATAAACAGTATTGAAACATATTAGGACACGTAGTTGACCTAGGGATCGTTTTGTTATTATGTTGTTCTTTGACATAGAATTTTATTGTTATGAAAAAGTCGCTTTTCACTTTGATTACTGGACCGATTGTCTAAATGGGGAAAGATTAAATTTTTCTTTCGATTGTCTAGATTAGAAGGCTATTACTTTTATTTATTTCAAATATTTCTGTGAGCTCTATGGAATTCGTATTTGCCACCATGTGGCGGTTCCTCGTCGCATATCAGCCGATCTCGTGCTCAGAGAACGTCGGTGGATCTGGTGCTTAACGAAAGTGGGAAATTTTTTATGGGGAGCGGTGAACTGTGAGACCTGATCTGGCAATACGGAAGTGACCCGGTTAGTTTTTCAATTGAAGTTGAAAGTGAATCACGAAGATTGGATCATCGTCACAGGAGCTACGACCATACCTGTGGTACCGTCACCGGTACCTGTGTAGTCGAGTTGTCTCTGAGATTTGTCCGTTTAATCGAGTTTTTCGACTTCGATACGGCTATTGGGTAAGTTAACGTATATGATTTTGGGGGATTTATGATAACATTAAGTTTTGCTCTCCGTGTCCACGTATTTGAGCATTGCTCTCTTGTTTTTTTTTTTGAATGAACAGAATTTGAAAAATGTATATTGAATTGAGGGAGTCAGTCAGGAGAAAATAGCTAAATGGGAAATATACATGAAAAACGAGAGAGTCAGTCGGAGAAAAAATGTTTAAATTGACAGCGTCAGGCTCGGGTCGGCGCAGTTACAATTGTCATGCTTCTGACTATACTCTCGAAGTATGTGAACCAAGATGGCGGACACCGAAACGTAGTATGTGTACCAGGTTAGGGTTAGGCCATAATTTCAGGTACCAATACTACGAGAGTCACCTGGCTAGTCCCCGAACTCGTAATATAACTGAAATAAGGAATATTGGAATAAAATTATTGCCTAACCCCAACCTGGTACACATACTACGTTCCGGTGTCCGCCATCTTGGTTCAGATACTTCGAGAGTACCCTTCTGACTAATATGACGCTATCTTGCGGAGATAAATTAAGGGGAATTCCCAGCAACCACAATATGGGATTGGTTTTGGAGTCATGGATACATAAATAAAATTTGGGCAACAGAATTAACTATACGAGAGATTAAGTTGAGGTAAATCATAACGAGGAGATTTAGGCATCAAGGCTCGTGTAGAAATAGTGAAAATATTCGGTAACAATCAAAACGAATGATATGATCAAATAAGAAAAACATTACATTTAGCAAATTTAGCGAAATTGGCATCAAAACCCGTAACAGAAATAGACCTGATGACCGGTGAATTAGAATTGGGGATTTTTTAATTTTTTTCGGAATGTATTATAGTTCTTAGAGCGTATAGTAACTGGAAGCATATTCCAAAGTTTTATGCCCATGAACTTAATGAAATTTTGTTTACGGCTGGATGAATGGCGAGTCATATAATAAGAGCTATTGGCAGAAGGTCGAGTTGCATGAGAGTGAATGACGCTTTGCTCAACGAAATAGCTGGAGAATGTAATAGACAGCTTATTATTATAGTGTGGTGCATAATTTTCAGCACTTCAGTTTTATAAATATCAGCAATTTTAAGTATTTTCATCTTATAATAGTAGAAGTCTAAATTTGACAGAGGTCCGGCACGTGTAAGAGCTCGAATTGCGCTGTTTTGCATGCGATGCAGTAACTTTGTGCTTGCTGCCCCCCCCCCCCCCCCCCCCTCATAATGGCATATTGGATATGGGACTGAAACAGTATAACAATAAACCATACGTAAAGTTGACATTGATGTGTATGAACGAAGTTTATACAGCATTCCTTCCGCCTTAGATAATTTAACGGTAATGCTGGATATTTGAATATCCCAGTTCAATTTATTATCAATATGGATGCCAAGATATTTATACGATTCCACATTTTCAGATATAGTTCCCCCTAGTTTGGATTTTTAGGCCATCAATGTGTTTGGGTCTATTAGGTGTTACCAACAAAGTTTTTGATTCATCCACATTTAATATTATTTTGTTAAGTTCCATCCAATTTGCAACCTTTTTTATTTCAGTATTCAATCTGAACTGGAGCACATCATGAGACTTGTCACTATCGAGAAGGTTCCTATCGTCAACGAACAATTTGAAAAACATAGTGGAGCTGTGTGCAAGATCATTGATATAGATTAAAAACCGAATTGGTCCCAAACAAGATCCCTGCGAACCCTTGGGTCACAGGTAAGACAGAGGAACAATATGTACCTATTTGAACATATCGAGCTCCACTTGTCAAATAACTAGTAAGAAGTTAATTTGCTATCCCCCTAATACCATAATGACACAACTTTCCACTCCAATTTGTCGTATATATGAGAAATTGTATCTAGGATGGCATGTGACGTGGAATTGTTGCTTTGAAAACCGAACTGTTAACTATTAATTACATCATGCTTCATAAAAAAGTTCTTTAGCCTTCTTTGAATTAGACGTTCAAATATCTTATCAACAGCAGATAAAATGGATATGGGTCTGTAATTTGAAACTTGTTTGTATTGCAGATTTAAAGATTGGAATTACTCTAGCGATTTTCAGTGAAAATGGAAATATTCTTAATCGAAGTGAACTATTGGAAAACTCTGGTAGTCAAAATGCTATGATGTCTGCTACATACTTGCGAAAACGACTGGAAATGTTGTCAGCGCCAACTGCGTTGCCTTCATTCAGGCTTACTATTTCCTTTCAATTCATTCACTGTTGCTCCAATCGGTAATATGGAAGATTAAGAATAATTCAGCCCATGTAATTGAAAACTTCCAAGTTGTGTAAAGCTTATGCTCGACATAGCAGCAATATTTAAAATCTTCTGCGTCAACACTTGCGTTCTATTTTACAACAACACGTAGAATCTTGAAAGATATCCACATAATAACTTTCATCACAATTCAATCCACAATGCTTACAATCTTTCTTTGTCGTAAAATTATCGATGAAAGTCGCCAATTGGTGGCGATGACTGAACTTAATGTCCTGATAACGCGGATTGGCATGTTTTTCCTTAACTTCACATGCGAAACGTTAGGCATTCGACGTAATTGTCGAATTGGAATTGCTCGTCTTCCGACATGTTATGATGTGATTCAATCGCATCGCAGTACTCTTCAACCCTTATCAAGTAAATAGAATCTTGTTTTGCAGGGTTTGACATTTTTGAAAGTAACGTCGTCACGAGTGTATAAAAATTCCTACATAACTTTTGGACGATGAAACCTTCTGCAATTATTATATTCTTTCCTGAATATGGAATACAAAATCACCGATAAAACATTCACGCAACTACACGATCATAAATTTTATAATAATAATTTATTTATTCAGCAAAACGTTACTTCGAGAACAATTTTTGCAGCTGAAAACCAAATTAATTGAGATTGGGAAAAGTCTTGAACAAACATTCCATGCATTCATTTCTACCTCTGCCCTCCTGACAAATATTTGTACATCGAGCATATTGTAGCTAAATAATCATTAAATGTATTCCCTGCGTATACATTGATTATTGAAATCGACTAAATCTGCAGTGAAATGGAATAAACCGTTTTCAACCGAGACATCCATTTTTGAGCATTCACTTCAGAAAATATAACTGGGAATTTTACTAATTTAGTATTAGAAATAAATATGAAAGTAATAGTTGCAAGTTTTCCAAAAACGGGTACAAAGTCCATGAACTTGGCACTCACAAAACTTGGATACAAAGTGTATGATTTCATCGAAAACGGTGTTTATCTCCGCGAGGAATGGTGTACGATTTTTAATGATGGTTGGACGACAGAAATGTTCAGGAAAATGTATGAGGATATTGATGCAGTGGTGGATTTACCTGCGTGTTATTTTTGGGAAGAAATTCACAAAGCTTTTCCTGATGCAAAGGTGAGATATTTCGCAAGTAATATAACACGAATTATTTATGAAACTCCTTTGCAATTTATTATCTTGGAAAACATATAAATCTCGAATGCTTTAACACCGATTATGATATTCTGATGATGTTGTTAATAACTTAACTGCAGATCATTCTAACGATGAGAGAAAGTGAAGACGTCTGGTATAAGAGTATTTTGAGACAACTGATTGTCGGAGACGAAAATTATACTTTTCGTTTGATGCAAATACTATCATCTTCTCAAAGAAGGTTGTTACATGGAACTGGATACGGAACTGGTAAACTTCTTTCTATTGGTATGAAAAAGTATAAATATTTTTGAAAAAATGAAATTTGACAATATCTGCATAACGATAACTCCGCAGCGTCAAGACTTCAATCCGATATTTAATATGATTGTGACTTATTGACTGATTGTGATATAAACGGCATTCTAAACATTCCTTATAGATACATCATAATAATGTAGATAGCCAGAGCCACGATTCTGAGGCAAGCAAATTTGAGATGCAGGTAGAGAGCATCCTATTAATTGTGATAAAAATATGTAATGTAATTCTGCTTTAAAAGGACTTGCGGTCTTCGGGGACAAACAAATATTTGATTCAAAGTGGTTTGGTAGGAAAATTAATGAACAACTTATGAAAATGAAATACAGAGCTCATAATGCTTATGTGCTGCAGGTACGTAAATTAAAACTGTCATTTTATCCTTTCATGGTGGAAATATATTTGTCGAGATATTTGAACTATACCAAACCTTCGTTCGGCATCTAAATGATTTTATTCTATTTTGTTTATATTTCTTTTTTGCTAATGTGCATCATTATTCCAACTTGATATTTTATTTTATATTTGCTTAAATCGGTCTGTTCGTTTAGTATGAGATTGCGTCATCAAATGCCGCATAAAACTTATTTTTATTATCATATTTATTTGCATAATTTTTGAATAAATTTTCAGAACGCTCCCAGGGACAAATTTTTGTTGTTCAACATGAAAGAAGGTTGGGAGCCACTGTGTAAGTTTCTTGGTGTTCCAGTTCCAGTTGAACCGTTTCCACACAAAAATGCGGGCGGGACGATACTTAATGAACTCCTGACAACTCATCCAGCCGTAATAAAAATGAAAAAGGAATTCGTAATATCTTCAGCGGTTTTGTGCACAATGGCGATTCTGATATTGTTCCTGGCGCGCAAAAAGGATTTTCGCAGTTTTGTATCAGGATTATTCAGAAGTGCATTAAAAACTATTGGGTGGTACAAGGATCGAAAGGTGTAATAGAGAATATTAGACTATTTTGGACACAAAGTGTACCTATGGATCGTTATATTGTTGTTGTTTTTATTCTTCTTGTTGGTATTTTTTTTCGTATCGTTATGAAAAAATCGCTGAAAGGGTAGACAACATCAAAATTAAAAATAGCGCACCGTGTGGCGGTTCCGCCATCGCATTTAAGCGATGTGGTGCTAATCGAGGAACGCAGTGATCATTGAGGCACGGTTAGTCGCGAGTTTCATTTCAAAAAGAAAAGCTTCCGGAACAAGACTTTGAAAAAAGAAATTCTAGCTCATAAGATTTAAATCTCTGAAAATATCAAAAAAATTTGCAGCACAAACAATATACACACACTCACTTTAGCTTTCTACTTCACTTTCCCCCAAATTTTTTCTTTTCCACTCTTTCGTTTTTACACACACCAACCTCCTCTTCCCCTCAATCCTCCCAACCGTACTCTCCCACCCCAACAAAACCCAAATAAGGTGAGAGGATCGTCGAGTCGAAATTTATAGCTCGTTCTACTTTGGTTGACGAATTTTTAATAAATGATCATTAATGGGGGTAAATCTTGTAATCTTGTTTGAACAAGGGGTAAAATATGCAAAAAAGATTAAGAACCACTGTGCTAGACTTATTTGCAACTTGCTCTTTGCAGAGCAGCTATCAAATCTATTGCCTTTGAATATGTTTTGTTTAGGGTTCTCTCTACCACTGATCGTTCTGAATTATTCCTGTCATTGCATTTGGTCATAAACGTTCCCTTTGTGACGCCATTCTTTGTATTTCTGTAATTTCATGATTTTTATAATTTGCGTACATATATTTAAATATGTGAACTCATCAATAAAGTTAATCACTTCACAAAATCAAAAACTCCAGTTAATATGCATTGGCATTTTAATTAAATTAAAAAGAGAGGGCATGTTCTTCAAAGAAATGTTTTTCGAAAGTTACTTGTCCCCTAGTCATTACTAATTGACAAATTTGTGGCCAAATCTGGGTTTGTGCCGATATAACTCAATATTTTTGTTCTTGCCCACTTTCACATGAAACTTTCTGATGAAGATTATTATAATGATTATAACAAACTGAAAAAAAAATGAGCAAGAAAATAAAAGAGGGTTATCAAAGGTGAAATATTGAGCTCATTAAGCTTTCGCATTCTACCGGAAACTAAGGCGTAGGGTCCTCAGTAAGCGCTTCTAAGATTTATCCATTTGAAGAAATCTCTGAGTTTTCCAACTATCTTCGTGACCAATGCAGCGAAAATGTAAGTAAATTTGCAACCTAGATCATTCAAATATGTGGAGAAAATGTGGTGTGTTCGTCTATATCTATGACAAATAAAAATTGATTAGAGCTCTGTATAAGATGTCGAAGAAGTCATTGATTGGCACAACACAAACAAGGGATATGCAAACTGCGCCCCGCTGGTCGAATGCGGCCCGCTAAACCATTTTAATCAGACCCCTGCTGTTGTAGAAGGTTGTGAAAATTTATTACAATTACACACAAAATTTAGATTTTATATTTTAACTTTATTTGAAATGTGTAAACTGAAAATTGTTAATATAATAATAATGATGATTTTACTCTTCTCAACAATTTCCACCACTACTAAATTTGACACTATCTTAGTGAACGGGGATGGTAGCTGACAAGAAAGATTTTGTGGATGCGACACTTGCAGAAAAACCTATGCCCACCCCGGATACACACTATAATAACAGGAATGAGTCTTAATTGTCTTTATAGCAATCCCTGTTAGCGGGCATGTATGAAACACTTCAAACGTATTGACAATGATCTACATTCTACGGGAAAGAGCATTCGCTGAATAGTTACTACCTAAGTACCCGTGCGAATCATGTATCCGCGGATGATAAAAATGTTACTATATCTCCTTACACAATATCAGAGAAAAAGGGCAAAGCAAACCTATATCAAATATGTAGTTTTCACTCAAACGCTTGTCAACTCCCTTTCTATAACTCAACGACTGGTAGTTCGTGATAATCGTTACAGCCTCACTACCACACACACATACACAGGATTCGCAAATTGAAATTTTGCCCGTAAGATTATATGCGATAAGACGCATGTCCATTTGCTATATGTTTTGAAAGTTTTTCTCGTTGGGATAGATGGGAGAATTCTAATTTGTGTAGACCTATTTCATCTAAAACTACATGTTTCCATTAAAACAATTTATTGTGGATAATTATAAGTTAATATGCTTGAATCGTAAACTATTTTTGTGTATCCAAATTTATCGCTGATATATTGAATCGGTTTTGGAGGCTCGTGATTTCCGTGGTTTCATTTTAGGACGTTAGCTGATATTTTCAAATAAAATACATGATTAATACTCGAGTCTTCTGTCATTTCCTGCTCCGTAAAAAGCTTCTGAAACATCTTTGATCAGCTTCTTACCAATGACTATTTGTTTTCGAAAAAACGTGGTAAAGAGAGTGTCACGTGATTCGTAGTCTCGTGTCAAAAGAGCCCATTCTATAGAGCAACACAAGCTTTCCATTTTTCTGATCAATCCCTTGATTCGTTGCCTGGTTTGCTTTCTCAGATTCCCATATGTAAATGATCCTTCAGTCCATGGAATGACATAATGAAGCTGAAGATATTTTATTTATTTTATGCAATGTGGTGATTTAGGTAGCTCATGTTACTCGAGGCAAAATGATCAAAATATTCAGCAGATTCATAACATGGTGCTAATGATATTTATGTTCTTGTGAAATATTTGTTCAAACAGATTGAATAAAATGAGGTTTGACTTGAAACCAATCGAACATGTGAACACAATCTAATGTGTGTGAAATTAGAGGAATGAAATTAGATAAACACAACGAAAAAATAATATGGATTTGCAAAATGTTAATTATTCAAAACATTCAGAATACATGATTGATTGTTGTTACTTATAACTGGAGATTTTTCGTAAATTACTATTTCTAAAGCGCAATATTTTAACTTACCTGATTCTTAATAAGAAGAAGATCTTCTACAACCATCATTTGTTTATGCTTTTCCGAGTTGTAGACATCGGTAGATTCTCTCTTTATATTGTATTTCAATCCGAGAGTATATCCGAACTCTTTCACCAGTCGGAGTAATGTTTCGTCATCAATGACATCATTGAATTCCTTGTTATTCGAAAGGAATTTCATCGCGCGTATCCTAGCCTGGTATCCGATTTCGTCGGATGCAAGTGCTCTGATGTGTTTTGCGATTTTATCTTGGTTACTTTTTGCCGTTTCAATATCAACCGCATGTCCAGTTGGCAGCAGAACCTCCTCAAAAAAAAAAAAAACGTAGTGTCAATACAGTAGTTCACAAACTCGTTTCAGTGTGATATCATGATGCACTTTTTAGGTTTGTGGGTTTTACAGTCTAATTCTAACACCACGTGCTTCTGGAGTAAATCTAAACGTATAAAGTCGGAGGATATCAAGGGCACTGCGAAATTGTTATGCAAAACAATCAGTGTAGCTGTAATGATGAAAAATAAGTTGAATATCGCATTTAATAAGACGATATTTATGCTACCTGTTCTGAGACGCGTGTGCAATTGTGTTGGGCATAGCCTGCAGAAATTCGAAGACAATTCCAGCAGAATTGTGTTCCACAGAAACATTGCATGTTGTGGCACCCTCCTTCTTTTACAATAAAGTAGGTACACTTTGGACAGGTCTTGCCTCTTACTAGGAAATCTTGCTTTTGTTTGACAACTGAATAGAAGAATGATTTCAATACAATATTTACGCAATATATATATATTATCATTTATGACTGAAACCTACTTTCAATTTCTTCTTCTATACCTGCTGCAACATTGCATGAAACTGGCCAATGAGCATCTTTTTCACAGTCGACACATTTTGATGAACCACACAAGCAAGTCACCATGGTAGAAGTAATAGATTTGGGATATTCTTGTAATGCTGTCATCTGAATTGTACGAAATACAAAAATGAAACTGGCATTTCAGAATACAATATTTTGATAAATATTACTGGAAGACAAATGTGCAGCAAAATTGTTCAAAGTAACTTAGTAAACACTGAAAAATACTAACTATAGGTGGACAATCGCCAATGCTCCTATTCTTGGAATTATTTTAACAACGAAAACATGGATGTATTTTTCGTGACACAAAACATCGTTCTATAATGATTCCTCATAACAACAGGGAGTAATAAATTGTACCTTAGTTATTCCACTGCAGTTAGAACAATCATACAGCATGGGAGCGTTCTTTTTGTCATTTTGTCGATGATTGTGTTGTTTGACAATCAAAAGATTCGACAGCAATAATTTAGTAACTTTGTTTGGTTTTTCGTGACAATCTTGTTCCGGACATTCAATATCGAATGTTGTATGTGATATTGTGAAATGACTCCAGCAATCAAGGCAAAACCAATGTCTACATCTCTCGAGTGCAAATCCTGATTTATGTTTTAAAAAAAAACGCATTATATTTATTGAATTCGCAAAAACTAATTATGTTGCAGTTTAGTCGTAGCCTGATTTTACAAGCAGAATATAGACATTTAATCGAGGTAATCAGATTAGGAATTGTTTTATCCAGAATATTACTAAAGTTAATTTCAAGGCAGGTAACTCTAATGCACAGTTTTAATAAATTATCATTTTATAATTTTCATTCAGATATATGTAAAATGAATTGGAATGATTTGCTCACGAATGTAAAAATTCAGTTTCAACGATTTTATATATGATTTTATATTGCAATGATTTTAGAATTAAAGTTAAACGTTTTGTTTATTGTCCATCAATCGGTAATTTGGAAGATTAAAAATAATTCAGCTCATGTAATTGAAAACTTGTTTGATGTTATGGTTTTAAGTTGAGTGAAACTTATGCCCGTCGTAGCAGTAACATTTAAAATCTTCTGCGTCAACACTTGGTTCTATTTTACAGCAACAGGTAGAATCTTAATTGATACCTGTATAATAAATTTCATCACAATTCAATCCACAACGATTGCAATCTTTCTTTGTCGTAAAATTATCGATGAATTCATAATCAAAGTCTTCGTCACACTCTCGGCTGTTCATCTGTTCTCCATCATCAAGTAAAATGTATTCGGTTTTTACACCGAGATTTTCTGCAATTCCTCTTAGTATTTTATTCAATCGCCTTGTTCTGCACTCACGTAATGATGGCCCAGTTGCCAATTGATGACGATGGCTGAACTTAACGTCTTGAGAACACGGATTGACATGTTTTTCCGCAATTTCGAGCGCGAAACGTTTAGCATTTGCGATCAAAACTTCCAATGCTTCGGCATCTGTTATAGTAATTCCAGCGTTTGAAGATGCGTCAGTAAAGAACTGACTGAATGCACGAGTGAAATTTTTGCTGTTACATAGTAGAGATATGGTCATATGAGCAAACTGAATTTCATCGTTGGTCGTATCTGCGACTAACTTGTTTGGATCATAATTGGTGTGAAAGAGAAGATGACCTGATTCCACGAATGTATTGCATGGTTCCCCAAGTGGTGCAACAAATACATAAGGTCGTACGTTTGCAAAGAATAGAAAATTTTGACTAATGTCTTCATTCTGTATCGCTTTCTTCGAGTACATATCGTGGAATTCTTCTAATAGGTCTGTTTTGATTTGAGCATAGCACAGTGTCGGTTCAGAAGTGGTGGGATTCTTTTTCTTTGTGCAATAAACATCACTGTCAGGCAACTTTATTACGTTTCCTTTCCTTGGCTTTCCACCCATAGTTTTCGTGCTACATCCCGAATCCATTCTACTAGAATTCTTTTTCTTCTGCTTCGATCGGCTATGAGGCTTCAATAAGAATTCCAATGGAACGTTGTTTGTCAGTGCAATTTCCGTCTCCGATTCACCATAATTGTCTAGCTCAAATTGCTCGTCTTCCAACATGTTGTGGCCTGATTCAACCGCATCGCAGTACTCTTCAAGTATTGCGTTTTTTACACTCCTATTGTACTTATCAAAGAAATAGGATCTTGTTTTGCAGGGCTTTTCCTGTTTGACAGAAACTTCCCCACGAGTGTATAAAAATTCATACATAACTTCTGGACGATGAACCTTTTTGGAATCACTATCTTCTTTCCTGAGTGTGAAATACATAATCACCGATAAAACATTTTAGAACATATACGAAACTACATGATCATAAATGCCATAATAATAACTTATTTATTTAACAAAATGTTTTTTCGAGATAAATTTTGTGGCTGAAAATCTCAGTATAAATAATTATGATGGAAAACACCTAAACAAACCTTTCACAGTATTATATTCAATTTCTACTTCTGCTCTTGTGACAAATATTGGTTATTCAAGCAATTAATTAAATAAAAGGTTAATTAAAAGTTAATTAAATGTTGAACGGATTCTTCGGTTCTACATAAAGTATCACCTACAACTGCAGTGAAGGCGAAGCTATCATTTTCAGAAACATATATTTTTGATGTACTTCAAAAATCGGGGAATTTCGATAATTTAGTAGCAAAAATATATATGAAAGTAATTGTTTCAAGCTTTCCAAAAACGGGTACAAAGTGAACATGAACTTGGCACTCACAAAACTTGGATACAAAGTGTGTGATTTAATAGAAAACGGCGTTTATCTCCACGAGGAATAATGCAAGATTTTTAATGATGGTTGGACGACAGGAATGTTCAGGAAAACGACGAGAGAAAGTGAAGACATCTGGTATAAGAGTATTTTGCAACAACTGATTGTCGGAGACGAAAATTATACTTTACTTACTACATATAATTTATTATACTTATAAATTATACTTGTGATGAAAATATGTAATGTAATTCTGCTTTATAAGGACTCGCGGTCTTCGGGAACAAACAAATTTTCGATTCAAAGTGGTTTGGTAGAAAAATTAACGAACAACTTACGAAAATAAAATACAGAGCTCATAATGTACTGCAGGTACGTGGAATAATATGACTGTTTCAATCCCTTCAAGAGGAAAATATATTCGTCGAGGTATTTAAACTACCAAATCTTCATTGGGCATCTAAATAATATGATCTGTTTTGTTTAAACTCAAAATATTATTTCGCTAATCTTCATCTATAACAATGCGTTTTTTTATTCAAATTTGATTTGTTTTAATATTTGCTTGAATCTGTCTTTATTATTAAATTAGTCACCAAATACCGCATAAAACTTATTTTATTATCATATTTATTTGAATGATTTCTGATTAAATTCTCAGAACGTTCCTAGAGACAGATTTTTGTTGTTCAACATGAAAGAAGGTTGGGAGCCACTGTGTAAATTTCTTGATGTTCCAGTTCCAGCTGAACCGTTTACACACAAAAATGCTGGTGGCAAGATACTTGATAAATTTTTGACAACTCATCCAGCCGTGTTGAAAATGAAAAAAGAATTCGTAACATCGTCAGCCGTTTTGTGCTCAGTGTCGATTCTGATATTGATTTTGGCGAGCAAAAAGAATTTTCGTGGTTTTGTTCCAAGATTATTCAGAAGTGGATTGGAAACTATTGGGTGGTACTATACGGCATATTTAACTAACTTTAGCGGATAGTTGGACGTTTTTTAATTTGAAATTTGACTCGGACATTAATGGGTGGGATTTTGTCTGGCTGTCAGCCTGTTTTAAACTGTTCACTTTGTTATGTATTCGGGAATATATACGATATCAACACATGTATTCTGTTCAAGAACTAGGCAGCATGCATTCAGAAAATACAACCGCAGTCTATCAGGCAACCAAACTCAACAAGAAATATCAATTTGAAAGATGTAAAACCCTTGAAACAGCTACAATACACCGTCAGCTTACTTTTTTATAGAGTATCCCATCAAATCTGTTGCATATGAATATGTTTTGTTCGGTGTTCTCTCTACCACTGATCGTTCTGAATTATTCCCATCGTCGCATTTGCTCATGAGCGTCACCCTTGTGACGTCATTCTTTGTATTTCTGTTGCTGACAAGTATAACATTAATGGTCTTTAAAATAACTCAATATCAAATGTTTTTCCTTTTTTTATATCAGTAAACTAGATAAATTGGTATAGTGGCCTAAATATATGGTCACTTTAATACATTGGAAATGGATATTGAAGTCAGCCATATTAGTTTGAAATTTTATTATAATAAATACCTTGGTGGCCGTTTTGTAGGTCTGGCTGTTCGCTCGACGATTGAGACATCAGGAGCCTAAAATTAAAATTTCAAATATATACTCGCAAAAAGTTTCGATCTATAATCGTATTAATTGTTCCAAGGTGTTTCCTAAATAAAGCCGTTTCATAGCTTACGAATGGCTATAATATAGACAACTAAAGTGCATACACATTTGTCGAAATGCCGAGCAAAATCATAGATGTCGAACATAAGTTGAAAAATAATAAAACAAAACACATCTCTATACGACCCTGCCTATTATGTTGTTTTTTTTGCAATATATATATATATATATATATATGCGGCAATATTAAACACTGTAGTACACTGTCGTAATCATAGTCTTTGAACATTCATGCACGTTGATGCAAACATTGGCCTTGCCTTGAAATTTACACCTACAGACCTACTAAAAGGCCTAAAATTAAAATCTTTGAAAAAAATAATTAATTTTCAAACCGTTGTGTCTGCGGAATGGATTTGCTCCAACATGCGTTCACGGAGACTTTCTCGTAAATTCCAACCCTTTTTCTTCTTAACAGAACAGCTTCTATATTCGGTCCTTCTACAATATAGATTTGCTGGAATGTGTGCAGTCGACTCACTTGGCATGTGACCATCTTCACAGATACCTGATACGGTGTTCAAATAATATACTCAGGCAAACTGGAAATAACCGATTAATCGAAATCTTATTGAGTAGCAATCCTTGCATCATATTCTGCGCATCATATACAGTGCGAAAGATGATTCTTACAATTCTCACGTATATCTATGTAGAATTTACGGTTCATATGAATGGAAAAAAAATTATACATCGCACAGAATGTAATAATAATATGGACGTCTGCATCAAATGAGTTTATTCCATAGTTTGGGTATATTCAATTATAAGCATGTAGCAATATTCCCTGCACAAAGTCAAAAACTGAAAATATTGGGAACTTCATTTTACCTAAATAAAAAAAGGAGTATTCCGTTAAAAAGATGTTCGACATCTCTACATACGTCAAAAAATGAGTCTGATAAGGGTCTGGACTGATTCTCGTATAGTTTTTATATCTACCTTGCGATGAGTTTCTAAACCGAAAAGTAATTAAAACAAACATTTGTACTTCTATATCTACCTTACAGAGTTTCTCATATAGTGACTTTGTTATGATAAGGGACTGTTTAGTAAATATAACAAGCTTGTCCTCACCGCCATCATCTAATATTCGTTCGCAATACTTGTTTATTCTGTTCACATTCCAATCTTCGGTAGTTTTGATGAATTTTGTTACAATTTGCTGCGTTCCCTTTTTTCCACTTCTAAATTAAAATGTTATTAATGCAAAACATGTTTAAGAGAATTCGATATCTTATCAGTAAAAAGAAGATTGGAAATGTTATTACATAATCATCATGATAATATTTTATAGACGTCGTATATTATTGGTTGGGGTTGTATTAAAAATTTGTTATTGTCTTACCGTTCAGATTTGGACGAGCCTCGTAACGTACTGCCCTTTCGTTTCGATCGCCCTTCAAACTTTTGTTGTTTGCTATACTTCTGTCGAAAATAATACTCTTCGGTATCCATGGTCCCGTTTTTCAAACAAACTTAACTTGTTCTTGATCTACAGATATTCTATCTTCTATTAATTTAATGTTTGCAATCCCATTAAACAAATAATACAAATACATAATCATAACACGTCATATAGCTTAGCCTACCAATACGTCCAACTACATCACTTTGATACACTTGTAGTGACAATTATTTATCCCACATGTTGTGAAGAAAAGAAATATAGCAAATATTCAGACCATAATAAAATGCTTTTGGGTTCCTTTTTGGAAATCAAAAAACATGAATGTCATGGTGGTTCTTTTTTAAATATGCGACATCGGTTCATCCCCTCAAAAAGTTGCTACGTTTATATTAATTATTCTAAGTAAGTAATATATTGCCGACAAAGTTTCGTGAACGTTAGCTGTATTAGCCTTACGAGGAACACAGGGTCGAATCTCTGCAGTACTTCACGTCATTGCGATGAGATTACGGTATTCCCTGTGTACGGAATTATCCATGCGCAATCTGGAACTTCGAAACAATCATATATTTCAATACCCCGCCTGTTGCCAAGGGAAATATCGTTGTATGCTCATATCATATTGCCATTGTCACAAATATGAAAAGACTGCGAAAGTGCGTCGTTATATATATGGCACGATCGTGACAAAAGCATGTCTAAGGCTATGTTTAATTTTTGCCCAGCCCATTCTACACAATACTTTCTTTACAAAATCGTTGATGGTGCAATACCTCAATAAATGTTAACCCGTTAATCCACATCTATATACAAAAGCGACCAGGAGTTGTCATGTCATATCAAGTCTGTTAATAAATTTCGGTTTATTTTCAGTGATGTCTGTTCAGACAATACGCGCTGAACAATGCGATTGTAGCCGTATTACGTACTCGACATGCTTGGTTGGATAATGAACATTTTACTGAATGATTTCGCTAAAGTTGCGCAATAGGTTGTCATCGAATAGCGCAACAAATTGAAACGAATACGATTGAGTTTATTTCTGCGCAATACGTAATCATAACGATAACGCGCATTGAATTTTGGGCTCGGCATCATCCCATGTAAAATGGCAGCATTCAGATAAAGCCCATTCGCACATTCTGCTCTATATGTTATCTGAAATTTTCTGCTTTATATGTTCATTGACCCGAACAAAATTCCAAATTCAGCCACTAATAGTTAGGAAGTCAGTTATTACGCTTCTACGGCCTACATGTATACCAGTTGCAATTATGATATTCACAAATTCGTGATGCTAACAGGACATTCACAAAAAATTCATATCCAGTAAAAGAACAAGCAAGATTTTGGAAAGGTTATTTTTCAAAAGTTGATTGGGAAAGTTTTCGTTATAATACATTTCATGAATTTCATGTATTCCTTATATCATACGAACAACCCGGAGGTAAAATGTCAAATCTACTTTGAAAAATTAAAAATCATAAATTTTAATATAAACAAATACTCGTTTTTAATTGATAGGCGTTTTCGTAAGAGTCTACAGTTTTCAGCGTTGTTCACATCTACTCAACTTTTTTCTTCTGAATATTGGTATGGTAGTATGTGCTCAAAATGTGATCAAAGCGCATTCTGTTCTATCTGAACGCGATCTATAAGGTTACTAGTCACACTCACCGTGTTAGATATGTCGAGAATGGTCTCTAGACAGGATTCCTGACAAGAGAAGCTTTATTTAAGGCAAGCTATATCGTCACTCATATAAGAAGCTGCTTTTGTTATTGAATACAAGAGTAGTGCGCAAATTGGTCAAGTCATCGACACGAAGGTATGAACGTTATCAGAGCATCGTGCTTGCTAAAATATAGGCGGACAGGCAGCACAAAATAGCATTCCCATTCAATAAATTAAAAAACTAAATCCACGATGTTCTTGGTAAAATATCGGGTTCCGTATGACTCAAAGGAAATTTAAAACAATGAGAGTAATGTCATTCTAGCAACTTTTTCCTTCTGAAACCAATAGTACTGAAGTACTGAAACCTTAAAATTAATTGACCTATTTGTTGTGGTAAAAGGCGATTTTTACTCAGTAACAACAAGAATTCGGCAAAACTAACCAAAAAGGATTTTACTACCCACTAATTAGTTATCTATGATCGCAAAATCGAGTCATTTCTCATAGCTCTGCACACTTCCAAATAAACTCTATTTCATTAAGCTGAATTATTAAACCATATGAATTGTTTTGCTAAATCGATGTTAGTCTTGCTGTTGGGGAGACTTTTTAGTTGTGGAAAAAAAAAATTTTCTCCCCAACTAACAAAGCAATTAATTTTAAAATTTCAGATGAAAAAGGTCGCTAGAAGACTATCACCACAAGTCGTGTTCATCTGTCTTTTTTGTCGGAGAAGGTAGAATTTACGCAAACAAAGCAATAATATGCATTTTGGGAAACACGAAAATGACCACGAAAAAGAAAGATAGTACCACGTAAGCAATTTCGTTCATGTTGCCGTCAAATCGAATAACTTCGGATGGTTCTCAACCTTTACTGATTTTCTGACTACAATAGGCATATGAAAGAAAACGAGCAATATTTGGCTGTGACAATGGGGCATCTGGTAGATAGGGGGTTGGGTTATTTCATTGTAAGTCAGGTTCATTTACGTAGTTATTTGATCTTAGTGTTCATATATTTTAGCGCCGCTCTGTTGTTTTATTATTACTGCAACTAAACTAAAGCTCCCACGCAGACAAAATGGCCATTATTTCATTCATACTTAACAGAATTACGGAAACACGAATAAAATTGACAAAGAGCATATTTGATAATTGTTGCAATATCCCGCCTGGTTGTTCTGGCTGCTTAAGAATCTGAGTTGGAATAAATATATGTCAGCGGCTCGAAATGAGCTGTAAAAGTTGGATTTCTCTACCACGATGTTTATCCCGAGAGAGCATACTCCATTGGTACAAATATCAGATACGTCTTTACTGACAAATGTTTTCCGGTCTCCCATAACTATTTACCATAATAAACTTTAAAAAAAAATACCAAATTTGAGTTACCCAGAATCAGTGCCAGGTTTAACTTTAAAGATAGGCCGTTATCCCATTTGCTGATAAATAAACATTACTGATAGAAAATTATCATTCATTTTTATTTGTAATAAACGGGTCCACAAATGAAAAAGATCCGAAAATCGTTAAAAATATGCTATATACTTTAGGGTTTTGGTAACTGATATCTTTCCTAATGGTTAATTTTTTACATTTCAAAGATTGGATACTTTTTCTACGTTATCAATTATATTTTGCCAGTTTCTATATCGAGATATTGTACTATTGACAAAATACGCTCCCAGCAGTTGCATTTCATTTCGTTTTACTTTATTTCGCAATAATCTTCACCCACCTATGTCACATGCTCTTGCAGATCCACACTATAAAATAGTACTTTTCGATTTATTAATTTTTAGTCCACATCCCGTGTAGAATAAATCCATTATGCTTTGTATTTCATCAATGGACGATTCTGGATGAAATATTAGATCTCATAAGATTCATAGAAAATTTAGGAAAAAATAAAAGTAATAGCCTTTTGGCAAAAAAATATCAATCTTTAACCACCGAAAATTTCAAAGCAATTGGTCTAGTATTCAAAGAGAAAAGCGATTTTATAATGACGAAGACGAAAATTAACAAGAACGAAATTAAAATATTAAAACGATCCATAGGTCCACTCACGTGTCCAATAGAGATGGTAGTATCAGCATACCCTTTATACGCTTCTCTTTTATTAGAGCAATTTTGGATTTGTTGTTCAAGTATTTTTAGGTAGAGTTTTGACACATTTGATTATGTAAGATCCGATTCCCAATTTCCTCATAATTTTTATTATTAAATGTATAACCACAGAGTCAAATGCATTGCCTTGGTCAATTGATAAGTTTGCCAGGGGTAGATTTTGTTGATTAGCTTAAAATATATCATCTCTCATCACAAGCCTGTTGTCATGAATAGATATATCTACGTAGAACAAAAGCTGTTTGTCCCTCATCTATGATGTTCGGTAACATTCGTTTTATTCTATTTCCAATCACTTTAGCAATTATTTTGTATTCCTAATTCCTGAAAATCCCTAATATGTACAACCTATTAGGCTTTTTTTGTGCATAGTCACAAAATCGTCAAATACTATATCCAGTTGCTGAGTATTAAGAATTTCTTATGTGGCAAAAGTTCAGATTATGGACTCAGTTTTGTTAAACACGCTTTGACATTGCATGTCAATCCGCAGTAATATCAATATATTCTTATCATGCATACCTTGAAGTTCCGGGTCAGGTTGTAAACGTTGTACTGGTGTTTCCATTTCTTCACTATCTATCGTATTACAATTTACAACCCGTTTTAAATGTTGCTGTAGAGTCAGAAATAATTTCTTTGTCAGGCTTCTTATGTTTATTGTTATCTTCTTCATTATAACCTTGTCTATGTGCACTTTTGCCTTGTCAATGGATCTTTGTTATGTACGTATGAACTCACTAATTGTGTCTACAACTACCATAGCACCCCGTTCACTTAAATGTATCACAGGGTTTCAAAATTACTGTCTATTATAATATCCTCTGAAGTGTATTCAGACCTGGGCCTGGGTATGTAATAAACCTTTGTTTAAAAACTTTCGCTTGGATTACTTTATTGAGGCGACCACAATCTTCAACTTTTACCTCGTGTTGGTAATATTAGTTTATATACCTATAAATAGATATTTTCAGAATTTTTTTTGCATTGTGAATCGTGTTTCTAATGAACATTTTGGTGCTGTCATATGGGTTGGTCTTTATTTCATTTGTTCCCACATATACAACCATCTCATTGTATTTAGTATTGATTTCCTCTAATGCATTTCCTACGTGGTGAAATCGTCCTCCAGGTATTTGCAAGATACAAACTTTTTGGTGTCGATTTTTGATGCCATACGTTTAAGCTGTGAATTCCCAATCAATAATATTGATTTTTGTGTATTAGGATTTACTTGTTGAGGTTCACAATCATTTGATGATTTAATAAAATCTAGATTTATTGATGATTTAATAAAATCTAGATCTAGAGAGTGGAGATTCACTGAAAAAAAACATGGGACCAAGGCAGCTGCCCTGTACAATTCCCGTGTTAATAAAAAGCACTTCAGATCGGTTAGTGCCCATTGCAACATATTGCTGTCTACCTGTATGGTAGTCTTTAAAAAGGTTGTTTGCAAATCCGCGTATGAATGCAACGGTGGGCAATAATAAAGCGGTAGAAATTTTGCGCACAAAGGCCCATCTGGCAAATTAGTACCAATGTTAGATGTATACAATTAGTTAGAATGCAAAATGATTTATTCCTAGTAATGAACCGCATAAAATTACATTTCGTGCAACTTTATCAAATGAAATGTGACAGAATTGGTTCGCAATGCTTTGACTACATATCACCCAGACTTTCTTTCAAAAATATACAGATACGATGGAAACAAAAAAGACAACTACTTCTGATATGGCCCGCAAGATATACTTTATAATAATATTTATTGTTATTAGACGTTTGTAAGAATTTTTTTATTTTTTTTATTAACGGTATCGAATGTTAATAATTTTGAAAATGATGCGGCTCTCACATATTTCTGACTTGTTGCATGCGGCTCTTATACTGAAAAATTTTGCCCAGTACTGCCATAATGATTGAGCTTATGCAAGAGTATATCGTGGCTAACAGTGTCGAAAGCCTTTTTTAAACCTAGAAAAACGCAATATTTACGTTCACCACGTTCAAATTTTTCGTTAAGATGTATCCAACCAAATCGATTGTAGCATATCGTGGCTAACAGTCTCGATTCAGCTTATGCAGGAGTATATCGTGACTAACAGTCCCGCAAGCCTTTTTTAAACCTAGAAAACGCAGTTTTCGTAGTTGTATTCAACCCAGTAGAGTAGTAGACTATAGCATGATTTGTAGAATGATTATTCTGAAAACCAAATTGGTGTTTATTAATAAGGTTGTGATTTTGACAAAAATCAATTAGCCTGCGATATAGTTTTTCAAAGATAATAGCAATACAGTTGGTAAAATAGAAATGGGTCTGTAGTTTGATGGATTTGTTTTATCTCCAAATGGGCCAACTTGAGAGCTGATGGGAAGATGCCCATTATTAAAGAAGCATTGAAGAAGTTGAAATTGAAGTACTTGAGTTCGATTTTATATTTACAACATCCTTAATAGTTTTCCTAACCCAATGTCTACTGTTAATTAATGCCAGGACAACTTGTTTAAGTGTGTTTCAGATCTCCACTGTAATTTTGCACTTTTGTGAGATTATATTTACGGTTGGATCTTCTTATAATGTTAGTTAAAATATTCTTATACTTTCTGTAGTTCCTCCGTTGACTTGGGGTGGGTAGTATGTAATGCTTTTTATGTAATAATGTATTGTTCCTTAAGATGCCTTTGGTTATCCATGGCTTTTTGCCAGTCTAGTCACCTCGCGGATGGGCGCGCAGTCATGGCCGCGTTTCTATATTCTCTTTATTATGCTAATAAAAGCCTCTGATTGAAGTTGGTATTTGATATATCTGTGTTCATGAAATTGCAAAAGGCGTTTTCAGCATCAATCCTAACATTTTCTTTACTAAAGTTTGACATTTTACATTTCGTGCGAGCTTTATCAATTATATTAGTTACATTAATATTGGGAATGCAATAGCTTTCGTGTTAGAGGGGATGGAAGAAGTTGAATCCAGTAATACTAATATTACATATAGGCGAATCGGTCAATACGGGGGGCACGTTGAAAGCAAGTTAAGAGTGGGATTAGTCTATCAATATGTTATGAAATTGATCTAACATTCAGGTGAATTATGATTAAATCCTGATGAAATATTTTTTATGCTACTAGAATCTAAGCAACTACTCATGTCGGGGCAAATGTTCGAAGGAATGAATAGTTAGGGTTTTCCAAATAGTGTCGGCCATGAGAGTTTGTTGTTGATGAAAGATAAATAAACCGGTATTATCTATAGATGCCATGGTCTTTCCTTTTATGACGCAATATACATAAACAGTTTTAGGACTGACGTTTTGGTGAAGAAAGATAGTTCGATTGTTTTATGACGAGATGAAACTACTCCAATGCTGGAGTATAATAAATATTTCTTTGTAACAGGGCATATGGATGGAGCTTAATAACTTTTCAAATAAAACGGTCGCCTACACTTTGAATTTTTTTGATAATGGACGTTTGGCGATGAACATAAGTTTAAGCGCAATATCGAATATGGCTTTCTATTAGTGAGTGGTATAGGGATATTAAACAAGATGTATTTAAATTGTTGGCTATTTTTGTAATAGCACCTAGAGATGACCTTATTTTAGATAGAATCAGGTTTGTGTGCTGTTCCCAACACAATTTATCATCAATTATTACACCCAAAACGCGCGTCTGGTTAATCCTTACTATATTTATTCCATTCAATTCCAGATTTTGTTGCGGTGTTGGACACTTTTGCTTTGGCGCGCTAAATACCATATATTTAGTTTTTTCTAAATTAATAGTGAGTTTGTTTGCAGACAACCAAGCTTGAATATTTTCCAAGTCAGTATTTAATTTGGTCAAAAGTTCAGGCAAGTCTTTGCCTCGAAGATATGGCGTTGAGTCATCAGCAAAAAGTATGATATCAGAGTGATGAAGAGAATTTGAAAAACATAATGGAGCCAAAATAGAACTTTGTAAAGTGCCTACAAACAAATTACAATATGTGCTAGATGCTACGTCATTGTATATTACTACTTGTTTCCTTTCTGATAAGTAGCTTTTAAACCAATTATAATCATTTTTCACAGGAATGAATTGTCCCAAACTTGTTTATCCTCGGAACCACGGGAGTTTTTTAAAGTTGAAATAGGACTTCGAAACTTTTACATAAAAATGAATGTTCGTTATTGGAAATTTGAATATCAAAATTAAGCACAAATAATTTAAAATAAACAAATCGACGAGCTTCACGCCCTAATGAGAGCAATATGTTTGTTCATTAAGACTATATATAATAACTCAAGTCTCTTTTGGTACTTGGTTTCCGCTTCTGATTTACATGGTTCCGCCAGTACGTCGATGCAGACGGTAATAGCTCCGAATATTTTGTTTTTCGTTCGAATTCCTACTGAATTAGGACCTTAATTAAACTTGGAATTCAAAAGGATAGGTCTTGTTTTTATGACCGTTGGACTGTCGTACAATATTGCTGTCAACTCAAAAGGCATTTCTGTAACGTTGGAAGGATTGTATACACTGTATTAGAGATGTACCGATGTATCGGTAATATCGGCCATTTTTTCGGTATCGGCCATGTATCGGTATCGGTTAGATTAAGGCCGATATTTCCGATATATTTACCTTTTTGATATGGTCCAGAATGTTTTAAAAGATAAGTTGGAATACTACTTTTTACCATGTACTCCAATGAATCAATCCCTACGCACACGCTCCACTTATC